GAATTCTGAATTTAATAATAAAAATCATTAAATAATGATATTTAATGAAATAAGTTAATTTAACAAATTTATACCATCAAATAATGATATTTAATGATCTACACCATCAAACAATAATATTTAATGATCTACACTATTAAATAATGATATTTAACAAATTTATACCATCAAACAATAATATTTAATGATCTACACTATTAAATAATGATATTTAACAAATTTATATCATCAAACAATGATATTTAATGATCTATATCATTAAATAATGATATTTAACAAATTTACACCATCAAACAATAATATTTAACAAATTTACACCATTAAATAATAATATTTAATAATCTATATCATTAAATAATGATATTTAATAATCTAGTCCATTAAATAATAATATTTAATGATATATGTCATAAAATAATAATATTTAATGATATATATCATAAAACAATGATATTTAATGATATACATCATAAAACAATAATATTTAATGATATACATCATAAAATAATGATATTTAATGATATACTTTATTAAATAATAATATTTAATGATATATTTCATTAAATAATATACATCAATGACTCTAATATATATTAATATATATCAAATATCTGTTTTGATATGCATCAACGACTCTGATATATATTAATATATAACTAATGATAAAAATTGATATAAATCACCCCAAAAAATTTCCTGATGATGATATGGAGATATTTTGCAAAAGATAAAATTGGTCCTTTAATTCAAGTTTCAGATAGAATAACAGGTTCTATATATATAGACATATTAGAAAATACTTTTTTATCCTTTTATAATAGTTTAAAAAATAATTCATAATATATTTTTCAAGATAATAATATGCTAATACATAAAACAAGAATGGTCAATCAATAGAAGAGAATAATTTGATATTAAGTCTTTCATGAACTGCACAGAGCCCAGATCTTAATCTAATTGAACATTTGTAAGATGTTTTGGAAAGAGGGTTAGAGAACATAAATCTCATCCAAAAAATATTGTGGAATTAATGATAGTTTTGGAGGAGGAGTGGAATAAAATTGAGTCTGAAATTTTAACAAATTTAGTTGAAAGTTTGCCAAGCAGTATTAAATAGCCATTATTGCAAAAATATTCAAAAAGGAAGCAGATCTGTTGCAAAGATTCGTATTCTTGGCACTTTATTAAATGCTCAAAATTGACCAATACAATAATCACAACATAATATAGATATAGATTTGGAAAATAGAAATTAGGTGGTTAAAATGAAATTGTAATTGTGATCATAAAAGATTGAATTTCCTATAATATCTGGAGCAGAAAAGGATTTGAACAAAGTTGCGACTATAATAAAAAGGAACCTAATACTTAATCAAAAATTAGACAATATATTTTTTGTAATAGAAATTTGAAAGGATAAATTCATAAAACAAAATATAATTTTGCATACATGCTCTGACTTAGTCCCAATATATGAAGCATTGCGTATTTTAGCCTCAACACGTTGTATCCTAATTTTCTATGTCTTGCTGTGATGTGAGCTTAGAGTGGTCTGGCATTTTTAGGTTAGTTTACTTTTTTATTAAAATTTTTATAAGTCATATGTTTAATATGATTTGATTAAATTAATTTTAATTATTTACACAATTATTTAAAAATAACAAGCGATATATTATAAATATCATTTTATGTCGTTTGTCAGCATGTATCTTGAATTAATTTGCTTTGATTTATGAGAAACCATACTCGTCTAATTTTTTACATGGTCAGATTCGCGGATAGATTATCAATATCCAATTTAAAGATGAGTTAGAAGTTTAACACATGTGAAAGTATCGATATTGTTACATACATTACTAATACGCAATACAAATATCAAAAAAATTTATTCAAAGCATTTATTATAAATACATATATTCCGATCGTTAATTTTCGAAATTATTAAATTTCAAATAGAAACGAACATTATAGTGAATAGGTTTTTTGAAATTGAATTTTTTCTAACTTTCTACATATATATGCGAAATTAGCGGGTATTATTATGTAATGGCTAGATTATATTGTGGATTATAATTTAGTATTAGAATGTCAGTTCCTTCAAAAAGAATTTATATTGAAAATATATAGATAAAGATAAAATATTGTACGATTAGAATTTAATTGCTAATTGTTCATACGTCGACACCGGTATTGTTTGGCTCCTCAACGTCTTCGGCGACTGTTCTTCCCAACAAAGTGATAAAAGAAATTTCAAAATATGCATAACTGTTGTATTAGAAAATAAAATTTTGGTATTTTTTGAAAAAATTTGTAAACAAAAAGTCTATTTACAAAGAATATTCATTACATGTATTGGTGTGATAAACCAGTATGTGAATGTACATGAACATGTATATACTGCATGCCATGTTTAATGCAGATTTCTATGGATAACGATAAATCGTTATGATGATTATTATTAATTTTAAAAAACGATATTATTTTGCATTTCATTTCTTTAAAATACACGAAAAATTTATTGCATTTTTTAATCCTTAACGTTAATAGGTACATTTATACAAATAAAATAAACTTTATTACTAGATCTTTAAAAAAAGAGCATTGTATCAACGAATATTCTTGAAACATTCTTTAGATCGTACCTGCACATGTGCATCAATTATGCGAAAACAATATCGAATTCTAGAGACGTTCGTATTTCTAAGAAGCTCTCACAATAGAAAGTTTTTAAACTATATAATCCAGAATCGAGTCTCAATATTCAAGTTTCACTGTAATAATAATTCAATGTAATGTGATAAATTAAATAGCATTGCATACGTATATTATCGTTATTTAAAAATGATGAATTGTAAGATGAAATCAATGTTATTTATGTTATGATCAATCACTGCTTTCGTTAATGTTTTTCGAGGAAAGATAACAATACATTTATCTATTCTACAAGTTCAAAGTTCACAGATGAACCATCCAAATTAAAGACACTTGGCTTAACTTCACATATATTTATTGGACTAAGATTTGATAATTATGAAGGAAGTTCTTTCACAAGGTTACACTTGTGAATTGGAGCATTATCTTCCCGAAGTATTGCTTCTTTGGTAAGAGTACAGATACTGTTCTAAAGAGCCGATTACTTTCAAGAACTTTCATTTGAGCAATGATTAGAGATAGACAAAATAGTGACTTTCCGATGCATTATACATATTGCACAATGCTCTTTTTTAAGAACGAGAAAGACATCAATACATACGAACTGTATTGTACATGTACGTGTATCTACATGCACGGATATTACGATTACATTTTTGCCCCCTTAACGTTACATGTACATGTATACAGAAATGAAGGAGTGATTACACATAATGATATGCATTAACCATTTCTCTAACTGGGCTGGCTTTTATAACACCTATAATGAATTTCTTATAAATTGACTACTTGCCCTACAAACATTTTTGAAAAAATTATTTTCTCATACAGCAACTATGTATATCTCGAAATTTTTCTTTGTCATTTTGTTAGGACACAATATTTTCTTTAATACCATCGCGCTTCCGCTTTCGAAAAAGGCTATCACCGGACAAGCTTCTGGTCCCGGTCTTTATTATGGTTTCGACATTAATGACAAAGCTTTAACTGTTATTGAAGTAGACGGAATAGGCGGAGACGTTGAGACGACCGACCCTGCCAAAAATATTATCGAAAAATAAACAATTAACAATTAAATTCTTAATCGTGCACTGTTTTATCTATATTTATATAACTAAAAATAAATTCTTTTTTTAGCAAACTGACCTCCTAAATCCACTATATGATTTAATTATTACTTGTTAATTCGCATATTCATGTATGTAGAAAAAATTTAACTTATTCACTATGTTTGTTTCTATTTGAAATTTAGTATTTTTCGAAATTAACGATCAGAATACATAAGTATCGCCTGATTTAGAATAAGAATAAAATTTTAATTTCCAATTTATTTTAAACAACTATACGCTAATATAATAGAATATTTAGTTAATATTTCGTTGGTCTTCCTTCGAGTCCAACATTGCTACTCTTTTTTTACATTTTAATTTAGTCACAGACTTCGGAAGACCTCGTATTTTGGATATTGTCCTTTAACAAACTTTATGACATTTTCAATTGGGTTTAGGTCGGGTGAATTGGATAGCCAATTAATAGTTTTTATTTTCTGTTAACCAATTCTTAATTCTTCCGGTAATGTGGATCGGCACATCATCTTGTTGGAAAGTTGCGTCATTTCTCGTTATCTCCTTAATTGCATGATAAAATGGCACATTAATAAATTAGTTCATAGAATTTCAAGCTATGTATTTGCATTTATTTTTTTGCCATTTCTCTTGGTTTCATCACAAATACTAAAGTCTTTTAATTTCTCCACGAAAACATCCACAAACCATCATAGTCCACTTTTAAAAATAAGAGCCAACAATCTGCATTAAACTTTTCTCCAGTATGTCGCCAAACCCTTAGTTGCTGAGATCGCTTGCCAATTTCAATACTTGTTTCGTCAAAGAATATGAGAATCGCCTAGTTATAAACAATTTATTTGATTTTCTTTGTACCATTTAATATGCATGTGCTCCAGGCTTATATGGCACGTTTTTCAAGAAAAAGCTACAGTTATAACAATATTTTTCAAAAATAATTATTTGATTACTAAACTTTCTAACTGCATTAATAAATAAATATAACAAATCTTTAAGAAAATGTAAAAAAAAGTAAAAATCATGATTTATCTATATATAAAAGTTACTAATTTATTAATAAGTATTTTTCAATTTTTATATCAAAAAAAAAATATGAACATATAGTTTCGCATATATATTTTTCAGATTTCTTTGAAAAGAATTTCTCTAGTTGTAAAATATAGATGGTTATCTTTATTTTGATGTAAAACTTTTATATATAGAGAAAATTCTGAATTTTACTCTTTGACATTTCCAATGATAAAAATTGTGATGTAGGAAGGTGAAGTTGAAATAAGAGTATTTGGAGAATAATATGAATATGATTAGTAACACAAGACTAAAAAGATACTTTCTCCATTATACTATCTATAATTGATTATTCTATATTCAGATATCACTACTTTCAATAATTTTGACAAGATATTAGAACATCTTGTATTTTTAATACTTGGCAACTTTCCAAATTAACTTCAAAATAAATCAGAAATTAAAGTTCTTTTAAATTTTTTACTCAAAGTTCAAGACTTAATAATAAAAACTATTGAAACTTGTAATGCAAAATATATCACAATACTTTAAAATTATGCTTGGTTCTCTAGTAAAAAAATTCAACAAATTATATTTTGAAGTATAAGAATAATTGATAATTTTTGTAATATGTATTTAGTCTTTCTCACAAATATACTTAAAGTCAATGATGTAATTATAATATATAAAGTAGCAAGAAATAAATATTATATCATATCTATATAATTCTGTGAGATAGTCTTAATAATATGAATCTTGCATCAGAGAATATAAATCTTAAAATATCAGAAAATATATAATAAATTATAAACAAAGATCAGGACAAGGCTTTTTTTATATAAAATATTGAAAATATCTTCTAAAAGTTCTCATAAATATTTAAATATTAATTCTTCTACAATTATTTTTAAATAATTTTGAGTTATATTAAATTAAAATTATTAAATTATTATAAAAACTTAAATATTTATGAAGTTTATATATTTGATCATATATCTTATATTAATCTTGATCTCTTTAAATAATAATTAAGCTTTATTCAAGATATTTTAAAGAAAGTTAAAAAAATAAATTATAAACAACTTTGATAGCTATTTCTATTAAATTTCTTATTTTTCTAAATTAAAATTATTTAATAAATTAGATTAAATAAAAGTAATAATTATAAATTATTAATATATCATAAAAATTATTCTTTTTATATTAAATAATATCTTTGATATATAAAATAATATAATTTATAATAAACTTTATATGCTTTATATAAAGTTTAGCAGAATATATATAGAAAAGAAAAGAAATATTAGATATTTTATATATTTTTGAATTAATTTATATTATTAGATCTTATATTTTTTTGACAATTATTTTATAATAAATTATTTATATATAATAATAATCTATAATCAAAATAAATTTTATTTATATATAATATTTCAGAAATTATAAAGCTATATATAATTTTCTTTTAAAAAATTATTCTTTAGATTTTACTATATAATATATTATGAAAAAGAATTAATAAAAAATTAGAAAGATAAAATTATTATTATAAAAAAATTTAGTTATATATATATCAAAATCTTTAAGTCTATAGATTATTCTTATTCTTCTATAATCTATATATTAAAAGTATATTGTAATAATTTTGATTAATTATCTTTCTTTTAGTTTAAATCTTCATTTTGTGCTATCTATATTACAGATTAGTTTTATATTACTTTTCTATAAAGATTAATTTCATTCTGAATATACAGATGATTATTATACATTTAATACATTAGATTTAGCACATTGTCATGCAGATAATCATTATGTATATCTATATTACTAATTTAGATTATTAATATTTTTAATTAGATATTCTTTTAATAATTCTTTATATTTTAACTTATTCTTTTTAATTATTATTTATATTATTATTTATAATTATTTATAATCTTATTATTTATTGAATTATGATTAGCTACTCTCTGGAAATATAAATTAAGTTAATTAATTCTGTTCAATTCATATGTATTTCAAAATAGATTTTAATATTAATTTTTTCACTTTTATATTCATTGCTTTCACTATAAATAAGAATTATCTGTTCTATAATTTTTCCTTCAGATCTAAAACTTTTAAATAATAAAAAGAATCATAAGTTATAAAATTAAAACTATTCATATTGTATTTTATCTTGTTTATAATTATAAAAAAAGTAATCTTACATATATGAACTTAAAAAATTATTTAAAAAATAATCAGATTATCTATTAATTCTTAATAATCTATATATAATTATTTTAAGACTTTAGTAATTCAAAATAAAAATTCTTATAACAAATCTTTTCTAAATATACAAAGAATTAGAATTATTATATATATATTTGAATTATTTTATAAATAAATAAATATTAGAATCTTTTATAAATAAATAAAATTAATTAAAAAAATTATTCAATATTTCATATAAATGATCTGATCATTTTTTAAATAATTTTTTAAGTTTGTATACTTTTAATATGTGAATCACAGAAGAATAAAAATAATTTATAGTTTTAAAGATCTTGATATATACAGTCTCCGGCAAAAGTAATGATGCATAATGTTTTTGTCTATATTTTAATAATGAAGTATCCAAAACTCACAAAAGTTTGTAGATATATTCTTTAGGATATTACAAACAAGATTCTCTAATAGTGCAAGACATGTTAGCTTAATAAAATTTTGCAGAATTTTGTGTTAAATGTGTTGGATTAGGTATCTACACAAAATAATTTTGAAAAAGAATTTATTTAAAAATATTTTTAATAAGTAAATTTGAAAATATTTTTGCAAAAATATATTTTAAGATATAAAGAATATATTTGTAAGTTTAAAAAAAATTTTATTGCATATTTATTTAATAAATACCAGTTAAAAAAAGGCTTTATTTTGATGAATTTTATAATAAATCATAATAGAAATCCATTTTTACTATATTTTACTAAAAAATAACATTTTACTAATCAATTAATTGATTAATCGATTTTTATAACTAATCGATTATTTAAGAAAAATGTGGCACAGCAAACTGTAATTGCAGAGGTTGAGAACTAATTGATGTCATCATCATCATCATTGTTTATGCACTTACATTATTCAGGCATGATAATTTCCATATCATTTCATTTATTGTGTTCGTTTGCTACTTGCTATGTTTATTAATATTACAATTTTTAATATGTATTTTCGCAAAATAACGCCCATGGGCATTACACGTATTTCGAAAATCGTACTCTTTAATAATAGCATACCGTAAAACCGCGAAATAACGCCCATTGGCGTCCCGAAATAACGCGCATCCTATATAGCATTGGTAAACTTGATAAACTGCATTCTTTTAATATAAATTCGGTCTCGAATTCTTTTTTTTTTGTTGTCATCATTCTTGAACCCGATTCCGGTCGATTTTGTAATATAAAGAAGCATGATGGTTGGATATAGCTTCTTTATATGAAATTACCTCAAGTTTAAACGCGTTATCATAATTCGCTTTGTGCAAAAAATTTGCACGCGAAATAAATAAAAAATTAGCGAATACATTTTTTATTATGGATGTTCGTCGTGTAAAACAAGAAAAAAGAGGAGACTTAACGAACTACAAGCAAACGATAGAAATACGAGGGGAAAAAATAAATAAAAAACATAAAAACAAGAAAAATGAAAAACTCTCATACTTTAAAAGAAGTATATTTATATATTTTTTATGTCAAAGCACGTGGACGTTATCACAAAAATCAGGCAGATTTATCTGAAAATCGACCTTTTGGTTCGAAATAACGCGCAGGTGCGCGTTATTTCGCGGTTTTACGGTACATGGTTTCAAGATAACGTCCATGGGTGTCCCAAAGTAGCTTTAAATTCTTCAAGTTTATAAGTCATAGGTTAAGGTTGGAGGTAAACAGTTTGATGGCAAACAAGCAGAGATTATTTAGTTTGAT